GGGTGGGGGGCTGAAGAAGATAGCAAGCGTCATGTGAATAACAAATATATTTTATGAATAGGAAACGTGAAAAAGTTAAAAAGTTGAAAAGGTAGAAAAGTTGAAACGTTCAATCTATCTTCTACAAAAGTTACCTAGTCATAACCTTGATCTGACTATAGCTAATAAATCAGGAGCAGAACATTATCATATTAATTAAATGTTTCTATTTTGATCAGATCGGGCAAAGAAACGAAAGAAGTAGAAAAAGTAAAGTTGTCTCCGAGAATCCGTTATACTTTCATGGGTTGACCGCATTTGCTTCCTTCTTTTCTTTCAAGATGACACCGCCGCTTGCCAGTAGGATAAGGCCTCCAACAATGCACAGATAGAAGGAGTAGCCAAGATCATCCTTGGCTTTTAATACGTCGAAGTAGATTTTACCCAGCCAGATAATATCGCCAATGATCATGAAGATGCCTGAGAAAGAGGAAAATGGAGATATGTGAGGCAGCGTGGTGGAATCAGGCTCTCGTCAAAATAATGAAATCGAAGAAAACAGCAGTTTTCTCCCTGTTTAGCAATTTTTATCAAATTTTTGTTTTTTGGCTCAACACCTTTTGTGTCCATTTCCAAACACATTCCTTTTAGGATTTCACCGAAAATGTTGATTAAAGGCACAAAAATATAAATTTACAGTTTCCATAGTGGGACTCTCTGGCTTTGGAATTTACCAAGCTTTGGCTGCCATTTTCTCGCTAATGTTACCTCTTAAATCAGGTGACCCCCACCTCCTTCAATTCAAAATATATCCACTTCTATTGAAGATGGATGGGTAAATTTTTCATTGAAAACAAGACAAATGAACAAGCTTTGGGATGATACCAATAACTCCACATGCCCAAAAATTGACGAGAGCCTGATTCCACCACGCTGCCTCACATATTATATCTGCACATACCTACCTACTTACCTACCTACCTACCTATCTCGATCCATCCCTTTGTCCGTCCGTCCAACATCCTGACCTTGTCAACTCTCTCTCTCTCTCTCTCTCTCTCTCTCTCTCTCTCTCTCTCTCTCTCTCTCTCTCTCTCTCTCTCTCTCTCTTTCTCTCTCTCTCACACACCCAAACACACACACACACACACACACACACACACACACACACACACACACACACACACACTCTCTCTCTCTCTCTCTCTCTTTCTCTCTCTCTCTCCCTCTCTCTCTTTCTCTTCTCTATCTCTCCTCTCTCTCACAAACACACCATGGAAGAGGATGTGTGATGGAAGAGTGTGTGTGTATATGTGTGTGCACATTTGTGTGCGTATGCGTGTGTGTACATGTTTGTATCTGCGTGTGTGTGTGTGCGTGTGTGTGCGTGTGTGTGTGTGTATGTGTGTGTATGTGTGTGTGTGTGTGTGTGTGTGTGTGTGTGTGTGTGTGTGTGTGAGTGTGTGTGTTTATGTGTGTACGGGATGAAACACCAAACCAATGTGACAGGATTTGGACAATAAAAATGAATTTTATCCTATCTTATCCTATCCTATGTTATGTGCACAGGTGTGTACAGAAGAGAGGATGTGTGAAGGAAGAGCATGTGCGTATATGGGTGTGCACACGTACATGCGTATTCATTTGTGTGCATGGTTGTAAGTGTATGTGTGGGTGCGTGTGTGTGTGAGTGTGTGTGTGTGTGTGTGTGTGTGTGTGTGTGTGTGTGTGTGTGTGTGTGTGTGTGTGTGTGTGTGTTTCTGGGTGGATGCGTGGTGAAAGAACAAACCAATGTGCCAGAATCTGGACAATAAAGATGCATCTTATCTGATCTCATCTGATCTGATCTTATTTTATCTCATCTCTTCTTATCTTATCACACCTCATCCTAGCTCATCTCATTTTTACCTCATCTCATCTGACTTCTTCTCATCTTATCTTACCTTATCTCATCTTACTTCATCTAATCTTATCTTTCATCTAATCTTATCTTATCTTATCTTATCTTATCTTATCTTATCTTATCTTATCTTATCTTATCTTATCTTATCTTATCTGACCTTATCTTATCTTATCGCATCTTATCTTATCTTGCCTTACCTTATCTTATCTTATCTTGCCCTACCTTATCTTATCTTATCTTGCCCTACCTTATCTTATCTTATCTTATTGTACAAACCTCCGCCGATGAGGCAGCCGCCCGCAGCCTTGAGAAACCAGGGCAAGGGCTCCTTCTCCAGGTGCTCGAAGACGAGGTGAGCAACTCCCAGACAAATGCCAGCCACCGCCAACATCACACCGATCACCGTCAACGCCTGCACGGCATCAACAGCTCCTGCTGTTGTGGAAACAAAATTTATTTTTTAAAGTTGTGTGCATTTGTACGTCCCTATCGACGCAATGCAGATCATTTAAGAGGCGGTCGTTGCACTGTCCAAACGTGGGAGACTCGTGTTCAAGTCCCGGTGTCCAGAGACGTTTTCTTTTTTTTTTTCTTTTTTTTTTCTTTTTTTTTTGTCGAGTACCTCGGTTTTTCTGTCGGAATGTTGCATCCTTCTGGGCGACCCGTTTTGACTTGGACAGGCAAGGTCGGAAGCCCGCCTCTTTAAATATCTCAATTCTGTCAATGGGGACGTAAAACACCTTAAAAATGTATTAAATATTCCAAGCCAAGAAATCAACTTTGTTTCAGGAGAGAAAAAAAAGACTGTTTCATTCCATTAAGAACAGTTGCACCTATAATAATATTATGTATTTTTTCTTGCTTTTTTAAAGCAGAACTCAGGACATCTGTATTTGAAGGAAGTGGGGTCGCCTGGTTTCAGTGGTGAAATAAGAGAGAAATTGGCCGCCAAAGTTTGGTAACTCCTATAGCTAAAGAGTCTTAGAAAACTGAAAAATGACAAATTTTGTGCCATTAATCAATGTTTTTCAGCAAAATTCACACTGAAATGTGTTTTTATACCGTCCTAAGATAAGATAGCCAAAAAATAAATAATTGTACAAAAATTCCAAACTAGCGGAAAAGGCTTGTTTCTCCGATTTCGTTATTTTGACCACGCTGCCTCACGTTTATTACTTTTGTTTTATCAATTTCACCCTTCACTAATTGTCGGTGGCCTAGTTGTTAGGCTCTCAGACTCGCAACCGTAGGGTCGCGGGTTCGAATCCCGACAGGGGCCCAACGTTGTGTCCGTGGGAAAGGCTATTTACCCGGATTTTCCTCACTTCACCAAGGTGGGAATGGGTACCCAGCAATATACAATGAAAGATCTTATTAGTTTATTAGTGTTTGGGCGCTTACTCAGCTGCTTGCACTGTATACTTCCCGGGAAGCTGAGAATGTTTCTAAGTGTTCTGCGGTCTACTGGGGTAATAATTTAGTGTAAAGCGTACAGGGCTTACTGTCAAGCGGGAATATGCGCTAGATCTATTATCGATACATATTATATTTTAGAAAGTTCGTTACTTCGGCAGCTTAAAACTTTCCAACCACTGAACTTTCGAATTTGACAAAATTAACGGTGGTTCAGAATCCTTTAAAGGGTGCACAGTTTTACTGAGGAGCCTGAGGTCACTGTAGTTCAATTTTCAGTTTTTCATTAGTTTCGTTTAGATTTAATCTTGGGAAAGTCTGTCTTCAAAGACGCCATTGTAAACAAGTGAATTTCCGTTCACTAACCATGCGCACCTTTGAAATTCTGGAGTGTACAACCACGAAAGCAAAATAGAGAATTAATCTATACATCTCTATAATATCTAGATCTAGTCCTTCTAATTTTTTGCATCTCTCAAGATTAAGAGCTCCTTTCAAGTAGAGTGTAAATAGTAGGTCAATGACTTTCAGTTGATGTTAATGCAGCGATCATTCCTTTCATGGAAAGGGGTACAGCTAGTCTTATTATAATGGAGCTAAGCCCGTTTGTGAGGTCAGTATACATATTTTACACAGGTGCCCATAAAATCTACAAAATATGACCCAGTTAAGACTTGTCACAAAGGGTTACGTGGGCATATTTTCAAAGTTCGGAAACTACCTTTTGATTTTTCAGGTTTGATGGTTTTTTCTGTAAATCGAAGCTCTCAGATGTTTTCACTCTGCAATTAGCAATTTCATATTTTACTGGGGAGTACTTCCGTTTCGGTTTGTGCTTCGTCGTGTTTGTGAGACAGCTGCTTCTACTATTTCCTGATCAAGAATTTCGATATCCAACTCTGTTTTGATGTGTGCTTTACTGTGTCGATTGATACTTAGCTTGTCCCCAACACATTGAGTTCGTTTAAACCCACAAAATGTTTACTTCGTTGTATTGACGTTTTCACAATTTGGCGAGTAGATCTATTTGGTGCTCTTTGGGGGTTTTTTGGTGTTTTTTTTACAGAGCATGACTCTAGATCTAGATCTTTCTATATCCTAGATATGTTTGGAGCACAGAATTCAAGACTGATTTGGAGAAGTTAGATAGAACAGAAGTGCGGTTTGTGCTTTGTCGTGTGTGTGCCACAGAGATTTACTTCGTGTTTCCAAAGCTGATTCTACTGTTTCCAGATCTAGGATCTCGATATCTAACTCTGTTTGGATGTGTGCTTCACAGTGTCGATGGGTAATTCAGGTCGAACTTCATTGTACAGTATTGACTTTTCTAGATATATTTGATGTAGCGATGCCCCGTTGAGTTCGTTTACACTTTGAACCCACAAAATGTTCACTTCGTTGTATTGGGGTTTTCAAATTTTGTAGCGTATTTTCTGCTTAGCTTTTTATAAACAAGGCCCTAGATCTAGATCTCTATATCCTACATGAATTTGGAGCACTGAATTCGAGACTGATTTGGAGTAGTTAGCAAGAATATGTCAATCTAGATAGAGATCTGTTCGGAGTAAAGATACCTATGGAATATTAGTAATAAAGTAGGGATGCCCCCCAGAACGTAGAGCTTGTTTAACACCACGAAACAGAGGTGAAAGCGCGAGGAAGCGGAAAAAGGTGACTGTTAATCAGAATTTACGTTCAAAATGAGGAGAGAGACGTACATCACAGTGCGCAGAACGGGTCTGTATCTTATTATTATTATTATTACCATTCTTAATCATTTTTAAAGCTCCTCAAATGTCTACACTGTATAACTTTGTCTGACCAAGTTAAAAATATTCTAGCTCATTTATTATTTTATTAGTAGTCCAACAACTGCGACTTTTCCACCCATACACTCACACACACACACACACACACACACACACACACACACACACACACACACACAAACACACATACACAAACACACATACACAAACACACACACACATATATACATAGGCTCACATCTACATCTATATCTAATTCTCTATCTATATAGGCCTATTTATATCTATATCTATATCTGTATCTATATCTATATCAATAGTATATATCTATATATCTATAGTGTATTTTTATGTATATATATCTATATCTATATCTATATCTATATCTATATCTATATCTATATCTATATATCTATGTCTATATCAATATCTATATCTATATCTATATATCTATGTCTATATCTATATCTATATCTATATCTATATCTATATATCTATGTCTATATCAATATCTATATCTATATCTATATATCTGTCTCTCCCGACCAAAAACAACCCCCACCTCCCAAATAAAATTTAAAAAATTTATAAAGATACAAGAAGTGCAAAAGCGAAATAGAGTAGGGCAAGAAGTCAAGTTACAGGAACTTACAAGCAGAGGACAGCCCAAGAGAAAAAGGACTGACACCTCCTTTAGAAAAAGTGATCCAGGCTTCCGTGCCCATGCCGACTGCACACAGCAGAAAGCCGACAAACGCCATGCTGGTTCCTGCGAGTACGTTGACATTGGTCATTGCCTGGGGAAAAAGGGCATTGCGATCGTCATCATGATCAAGATCATCATCATTATAGTAATAATAATAATAATAATAATAATAATAATAATAATAATAATAATAATAATAATAATAATAATGAAGATCATTTCTATAGCGCCCACTCCTGTGTAAACACAGCTCTAGGCGTTTTACATAAATGCATGTAAGAACAATATTAATGCACGCGACACACACACACACACACACACACACACACACACACACACACACACACACACACACACACACACACACACACACACACACACACACACACACATCTACTTGCTTATCACACGCACACGATTACACATCGTCACGAAATGAGCATAAAGTAATATATACACTGCAATTCACAAAATGCATAAATGGATACATAGACATTTACATAACATTGTATTGAACATGAATCTACTGACTTAAAAAGGATGTCATTAAATGTGTTTTTAAAGATTTTTAAAATTTAGACTCAGATGTTGTTTGTCTCAAGGGTTGGGGAAGAGAGTTCCAAACTTACGGAGCAAGGTGGGCGAACGATCTTTCAGCTAATTTTTACCGCCTTTTCTAGGAACTCTTAAAAGATACTGATCGCCTGATCTTAGTGATCTAGATGGAATATACATCTGGATGAGATCACTAAGCTATGAGGGAGCTTTGTTATTGACACATGTATGACATAATATTGCAATTTTATATGACATTCTAGCTGACACGGGAAGCCAATGCAACGTTCTTAACATGGGAGTAAAGTGGTCCCTCTTCTTTTTCTTTAGTACAAGCCTAGCAGCATGATTTTGAAAACGTTGTAACTTGTGAAGAGAGGTATTTGGTAAGTTAACTTTTCTTTGAGTTACATAACAGAATTTCAGTTTTATTTTCATTAAGCTGGAGCTTATTATCAACCATCCACTTTTTGATGTCATCAATGCATAGGCCCATCGTAGTAAGCAAGGTTTCAACATCTGGTGGTGGAACAGATTTATATAACTGTGTATCGTCAGTGTACATGTGATAATTCATATTGTGCTTTCTAATCACAGCTCCAAGCGGCTGCGTATATAACGTATACAAGATTGGACCCAATACTGAACCTTGGGGCACTTCAAAATCTAGCTTAAAAATTGACGAAAGAGAGTCGTGCACAACCACAGATTGTGTACGGCCAATCAGGTAGGACCTAAACCAGTCAAGAACCCTGCCAGACAGGCCAAACGTGTTGAACAATCGTTCAATAAGAATAGTGTGATCTATAGTGTCAAAGGCAGCACTAAGACCAAGAAGAGAAAGAATTGATATTTTGTTCTCATCTCCCTCACACAAGAGGTCGTTGTATATTTTCAATAGCGCAGTTTCTGTGTTATGAAATTGCCGATAGGTCAACAGTGTCATCATCATCATCATCATCATCATCATCATTATCATCATCATCATCATCATCATCATCATCATCATCATCATCATCATCATCATCAGGAAGCCAGAAAGATTGAAGGAGACAGACAACCAACAACATACAGAGGAGTCTTTCCGATGATCAAGAGGGAAAACAGAGACCCACCCTGCACCTGGAAGATGTGCATTCTGGGTACTCCAATAAGCAGAAACAAAGTATTACATGTCGCTGGTACCAGGTTGAGCTAATGAGACTGCGGCCGGACCATCATTGGAGCTTGAGATGGTATTAAAACTTTGAAAATGAAGAGCTCGTTGCCGAAGATGCGGCCATGAAAAAGAGGATGTCAAACATATGTTTGAATGTCCAAGAACAATGGCAATTCGAATTGAGTTATTCGGACGAGTTGAGGTGCCTTTAAGCATATTGACAATGGAGCCGAAAAAGAGCCTCGCTCTCGCTCGAAGATTTCTTCGTGGAGTCCGCCAGGCCCATTAAGGAAACAAACAAAAATCATCATCATCATCATCATCATCATCATCATCATCATCATCATCATCATCATTGTAGGAAAAACGATAGATCAGGGCGTGGGCCATCAACACACATCTTCCACCTTTCCCTATGCTGAGCTAATTCCTTGATGATGTTCCTTGTCTTTCCATTTTTTTTCGCAAAACATGCTTTGTTAATGTTACTTTTCTCCATGTTCCAAATGTGATCTTCCCCTTCTTGATATCCACCCCTGCAGTTAAAATGCATTTCCCACCTATATAAAGCGAGGCTCCTGAAGGGATTAGAATGCCATATAAAGGATGGCTGCAGTCACTTCCAACCGGAATATTACAGTGGCTACAAAATTCAGAACCCTGAAGGCTGAAGGAGTAGTATTAAATTTGGTCAGTTCTTTTATATAATGTGAGTGCTTGACAGTCGTACCAATATTGAAAGAAAATTAGAAGCGACAAAGATGTGGTTCATAACGAGAATGCTAGAAATACGTTTCACACAAAGGAAAATAAGCAATAAATGACAAACAAAGACAGACCATTCATGGATACAAGAAGCTGGCGACAGATAAAATTCGTAAGGGCGAAAAAGGAGTGTTGAGAAAAATGTCGGAAAAAATCGAAGAGAAGAAACCTTTATTCCTGTCGGACTGAGTTGACACACACACATGCACACCCGTACACACACACACACACACACACACACACACACACACACACACACACACACACACGCACACACGTACACGCACGCAGGCACACACACACACACACACACACACACACGCACACACACACACATACACGTGCAAACAAACACACACACACACACACACACACACATACACACACACACACACGTACACGTGCACACAAACCCACACATTCTCAAACTCACACCCACATGACCACCAATGTATGCTCCAGACGACACGTCATTTGATGACAACGATGGTGAACCTTTAAATTGCGGTCATGGATTCGTAGCGCAAGTTATTCTCAAATATCTTTTGAACCGAGGAATCAATGTCACCCATATTTTGCTCAGCTGTTTGCACCTATTTGTCTTCACTTAATCAGACTATCATTTTCCACCACAATAGAGTCTAGATTAAAAAACTTTTCTTCATTACTTTATATAAAATATTACAAATCTTTTTCACGCGGAAAATGGGATTGTTCACAGCACTTCCCGCTTCTCACACACATATTTTGCGTACGCATAATTTATTATGGCTTACGTCATAGGTCACCGGTGAGACTTTTGTGTGGCAAAACTAATAATAATTACAAAAATAATTTTATAGTAAAGTGAACACTTTTTGCACTTAAAGTTGTCACGACATGCTTAATAAACACGATCTCGCAATAACAAAAAAAGGGACGGACTTGCTTTTAAAAGCGGCATTATCCCAGCTGTAAACCTTTTATACCCAGTAGAAACCATCCACGGGGATTTTTCATTAGTATTTATTAATGAATTTTCTAGAATAAAGCTAACAGGAGGTTACAAAAATATAAATCTGTTCAGATAAATTGATAAAAATCACTGTGCAAAAGCCGGAGAGTCTATGTTGGATAGTTGAGATGATATTTGACAATAAGTTGCGCAACGAATTTTTGACTGCACTATAGTGTCCTATTTTTCCCCCAATTTTTACTTTCTACTATCCTGACTTAAGACATGGTGGTGTTTTCTAAATAACTTTAATAATTGTACACAGATTTCTTTCAAATTTTCACACAAGTTAGATAAAATATAAACTGGCAACCCCTGTGGGCTACAATGTGTCAAAGAGTAATTCACGATGACCTTGAGAGTGGGCACTGTTGACCTAATAACAAAATTTCATCTTGTTATTCATGGCTGATGAGCAGGATCAGATGTCACATTTTTGTGGTATGCCTTAAAACAGTCTTGACAGAATCCCTTGTAGGGCAGTAGGTTGTTGTTTGCACTGGTTTTCCTTACTTTGTGCCATGTCCTTGTTTCCTAGTTGTCTTTAGGCCATTCCCAAAGGGGGGATATTAGCATGTTAGCATTAACCTAGTAGAATTGCTCATGGGCTGAATTATCAATGTCATGCTCATACTATGTCGGAACAACATAGGGGGAACTACTGCTTTTTGTTTCCTCATACTTACTATCGTCATTTTTCTTCTACTTCTTTTGTATATTTGTCACTCTCTTCTGAACAGCTATTTTCGGGGTGCTTAGATAGTCGAAGCAGATATTGTGCTGTTGAGGCAAGACAGGTGAGCAGATTAAGCCTGATTCCCCGTTTGGACATTTCTCTTGACATCCACCCCTTGGCGCTCATATGACCTTACGCAGTTGCGAGCGCCGTAAAATCTTAACTAAATCTAAACCTTTACGTGTTTTAAAACTCAACCCTTTAAACTAGGTATTGAGCTGATAGAACGTTCTAATTCCAGGGTAGCATTAACATAACGATTAAAGAACAGGTAAGATGGGCTCTCGTGGTCTAGAATTGCGGACTTCACCTCTCATTTTATAGGTCCTAGTTCGAAACCTGACAGCGACGAGAATATTTTTTCTCTAATAAAATGTCTCCTTTCACCTACTTTCCTGCTGTCTAATCATGTTCTGTCGTCTGCTTTCATCTTCACTTTCTGCTTGCCCCCCCCCCCCCCACACACATTTTTAACCCCTACTTTGGGGTTCTGACTCTTCCTACCGCCTGTCTACAGCTACTCCTCTGCTCCTTCTTACTGCAGTCTTTCAGCCACACCCTAGACGCTAGGCCACACCCCTATCTGAGGGTAAGCAAGATCAAACATCTACTCCTCAATGATAAAGGCGGAAAAATCTCGGAGGTCCCGTGTGCAAGTTGAACACTTTCAAGATCCCTTTGGTGGTCCTGAAATTGATAAGAGTAGGCTTCGGGCGCCACCCGAGCGAAATTGAAAATTAATTATTTATTCCTACCAAACTGAAAATTCTCCATGTGTCCCGCGCGCTCATTAATATGACTTTAAGCAGCTTCGATCGTCATAAAACATTTACCCACAAAGGGTAAGAAAAACATAGTACAGGGTGATAAAAAAAACTGTACAACTTTTAAAAAAAATATCTCGCACAAAATTTGTACAAGAATGTTGTAATTTGGAACAGATATAATTCATTCAACAGGAATATGTTTGACTTAAAATTCACAAAGAAGAAACGTTTTTTCGAAAACAGAAATGGTGTTTATAAAAACCACCTAAAAATGCAAAATGCACCAATTTAAAAGATCTTTTAAGGAAAGACATGAAATGATTGGGGGGTTTTTCCTTTCCTTTTATTTTTAAAATCTAATCTTTCCATCACAGTAACCTTAAAATAGTATTTCTTTTCTCCTACAGAGTTTAAAAAAATATTGTTTAAATTCTGGAATTCCGAGAATCAATGGTTTATGTCCTCCTTTGGACTCGGCACATTTTAACGCGTCGTTCGTAATGTTCAGTGGTGCAAAACACAAGGATTCACTCAACCATGAGTACTCAAGGCAACACACACTGTACACCTTACAGTACGGAGCTGTTTCTAGAGACAATATAAGGGAGAGGGGGGTGAGGTTGCCCAAATAGACTGCATTTGTGGAGTTAATATAACTGAAAGGTGAATAATATGGGCTTTGCCAAGGAACAAAATTTTACAAAGGAAATGTTCACACTTTTCAAGACGATCAAGGGATCCTGAACACATTGCTATCCTCTGATAGCTTCGCGAACGGGAAAATGGTACAGTCGTAGATGAAGATCTGCCTTGAGAACGCAGACCGTTGAGATGTAGGAAAGTCATGGCTGCCGACGTCGTCTTGGGACAGACGTCTCATGGGGCTCATCTACTGAATTCTGCACCCTGGTGACGTTTAAAAGGGTGCGAACGGTATGTGTTTGACCTGAAGTGGTCGTTTTGTCTGAGACCTTTTTGTTCTGATTCTCTCCAGGTCGTAACTGATGGACCATTTCCACCCTTGACATCAAAGAAGGCCTTAAGGGCACCTTAACATTGTTTCCGTACCTTGTGCGAAACCTACGAAACGAGTTGGTGGTGAGGAAATGTTCAATACAAAAAGCTCTCTGCTCTTTACTAATCTTAACCATGATCTCAGCAGGCAAAGCAAACTTGAAAGAAATTATCTGAAAACTTCTGTTGGCCTGTTAGACAACTGCTGTTTGCAATATGGCGCAGTTGTTTGGATTTTTAGTGGAAGGCCTAATGCGAACTAGTGCGTCATGCTACAGAAATGGGGACATAGCTGAAAATGGGTTGGTTTTTTTACGCGGTATGCAGAGCAAAACTATAATGTAGACTAATCTAAAATGAATACCAGACAAAATTTAATTTCTTTTGCCTTCCAAATGTTGTGTACAAATTTAAAACACAAAACTTCAGTATGGAGGAAAATATTAACAAAAAACGTTGTACAGTTTTTTGGGGGGATCACCCTGTGTATTTAAATTGGAGGATAAAAGAAATCTTTCTTATTATTTATTTTATTTAAATCTTCATTTGTATCTTAATAAATTTCAGTCACGTTTAGTTGTTAGGTAGGCAGTCAATGTACAATAAAATTGCTACTTACGTAATTCGTTTGACAGCAGATGGTAATTATGTAAATTGAAATAACGCGTCTCAGAGATGCTGTGGTCTTGCCCTTAGTAATCTAACTCCAATGGCTACAGCACCTTATAAGTATGACCGTATTTGACCAATGAAGTTGTAAACGCTTTGTTGTAGCAACCGACTGCATGCAACCAAGGCCTGATAACGACTGAGCGAGTTTGAACGAGAAATTTTTATCTTATTATAGTTTTCGAAGAAAAGCCCACTTTATTTTTTGGTCGATTGGTGGCACGGAACAAACAGACCCATAAGAACAATCGTATGACCAATGCGTTGGATATAACAGTTATTCGTAAGGTTTGCCTTTCTGGTAGGACATTTGGTTGTGAAATGCACAAACACACACACACACACACACACACACACACACACACACACATACACACACACACACACACACACACACACATTTTCAATTTGTCAGACCTGCATGATCGAGTGGCGGCCAAAATCTGAGGGACAATTCAATAAGTGTCAACAGGAATACCATAAGAAAACAACTTCAATCTCTGGCGGACCTCAACACTGTTTACTCTCCTGAGAAATGGATTTCATATAACAATAGAGTTACATATTATTATTATACCTGTAATGTTTTAAGGAGTGGGGGATGAGGGTTGTACGTCCTGCCCCTCGGAACAGTCTGGCGAGGGGGGGAGGGGATTTAGTGTAGGAAATCACAGGAAGAAATAAACAAATTTGATTCTGCATATCATTCTAAACAATTTGATCATCATCATCATCATCATCATCATCATCATCATCATCATCATCATCATCATCATCATCATCATCATCATCATCATCAGTACCACCCTCTATTTTAAAATAATGTTACTGACTCCTTGGGAAGAAAGGGGTGGGGGCGGTTGCTTTCGGGTGTTTTTTTTTCTTGAAGCACGACAGTTGTCACCATGCCGACCGTTCCGGTTTTTGTAGAGTTAGTGTTATCGGTCCAGCACAATGTTGAGGCATTTTCTACGTAACTTACACATCTACGCCACCAAATCATGGCAGGCGACAAAAAAGCAATACATTTTGTATTGTTTACAAGATGATTGACTTTAGTCCTTACTGAAAGACTGGAACAGTTGCATGATTATTTTAATACACTGTTCTAGTGTGTTTTTAATGTCATGAATGGAGTGGTATCTTCTGTCAGCATGCAGTAGGGCTATTTATTACACACACACACACACACACACACACACACACACACACACACACACACACA